CAGCTCATGAAGAATCACCTAATCATCTAATCAGGAGGCTAATCAGGAGGCTTTAAACAGCAGAAATTTGATCTGGAGATGCAGCTCAGTCAGTGGCAGAGTGTTTGCCTAGCCTGAGGCCCTGGGTTCCATCTTCATTAACCTCCTTTTCCTCCCCACAAACACACAAATGAAAAAAAAAAAACACACAGAAATTTATTCTTTCACATTTAGAAAACTAGGAGTCTGGAATGAAGATGTCATCAGAGATCAGATTCTTCAGGAGACTCAAGATAAAATGTCCCATCCCTCTATCCAGTATTCTGGAGGTGACTGATAATCCTTGGTGTCTGTGGTTTATAGTTGTATCTCTACAATTTCTGCTTTCACCTTCACTTGTCTGTCTTCTCTGTGTGTCTATCTCCAAATATCTCTCTTTATTTACAGTCATCAGCCATTGAATTTAGCACCCACTCTAATCTTCAATATAACCTCATCTTAAATTGATTACATTGCCCTCTGCTATGTGTGTAAAACAGAAGGGTTGCTTCTTTCTCAGCTAAACTCCTTTTGCAAATTTGCCATGAATACTCCCAACCCACCTTCCAACTACTCTGCCATTAATAATACATATGTTATTAGTTGTTGTTGTCAAAATTTAGTATCTTATAGTTTTAGAATCTTTTCCTTTACATATGATCAAAGAGATTCTCAAATAGTGTCCATCTTGGTCATGATTAATAAGAAATGAATGAAATAACCATAAATAGATCTGAGTTTTCTCATTATGAAAAATAAGTACTTTCTTCTATCAACCATTTTCCACAAATTTGCCCATGGTTGTATATAAAGAGAAAAAATGCAACTTATCTGAAATTAAAAATATCATCCTAGCATTTAGGCCCAGATTCAAAGACCCTTTGAAAAATTGTTTCTGCACTCTTTCCAGCTGCTGCCAAAACACATACACATACACACACACACACACACACACACACACACACACACATACACACACATAAGTAGTCATGTCTAATTCGTGATGGAGTCCTGTCTTTACTTATTGATGACATGTGTGTGTATATACATGTGAATTATTTATGCCTTTATATTCATTTTGTACCTTCTGAAAGACTTCTTCTGTATGAGCTATTTTGAACTTACAAGTGATATGTATTTCTCCATGTGCAGTTTTGTATCCATCAGGATTCTTCATTGTCAAAAATCTGAAATTGCATCTTGCTGACTTAAACAGGAAAGAAATGCTGGAAAAATACTGATAGCACACATAAAATGGGGGAGAGAAATAGAAGAATTGGTAATACCAGGACCACATGCAAAATTCAAAACCACACTTCAGAATTGCTATAAGCAGCACTGCTTTGGCCACAGCTTAGGTTTGCTTTTCCAGCACTGGACATTGAGGAGCACCATGGCAGGGATTTCTTCGTAGCTCTTGGACTCTGGGAAACATTGGCATCTCATGAATCTCCACTGCCTCATTTCCCTGCATCCTTATGCAAGAATATGATTGTTTGAATTTAGGTTACATAACCAAAATTTTCTGTAAGAAATCTGGTAAAATACATATCAGTCCTTCGCATCTTCTCTGTGGGAAATGTCTCTGCCTCCCACTAATGCTCATAAAATAGGAGTTCAAAGGCTAAACAGCCCCATGTGGTCACTATCCACTCCCTTCTGAATATACTGAACTGTCACAGCATGAAGAGAACTTACATGAGTTCATACTCATGGAGGATAAAAAAAACTCTTATGATCATATTGGTACTGACTGGTTCTGAATTCAAATTTATGAATATCTAACTCCCTAGTCTGTGAGTTCATTCCACAGTGAAATCCTATTATAACCCTATTTTATTTAACTTCTATTCTCTTCACTATCTGAAAAATCTACAAAACTGTCAGGATTCATTTATAAAGTTTATAAATGTGCATAGCTTTGTGTTTTTGTAGCCTTTATTTTAGCATTGAAGAATTTTGCTTTATCATTTTCATTTCATCATTTTATTATTTTAATTGTACTTACACTTGTCTCCAAATTTAGAGCCCCATTAGACAGTTTTATTCAGTGTCTGTTAAAGTGCAAGCATAAAGTAAAGCTACAAATCAGATTATATTCACTAATGTGACTTGAATGCCAGTGAAATAAATTGAAAATGAAATTTTTTAATGCACTAAAATTATGAACAGATGTTTCCTCTTACCTCAGCTCCCATATATGTAACATGATACTGTGTAATCAAACTGATTACACAACTTTTATCTTAGCTGTGCCAAGTTTGGCCTCTGAAACCATCATTTGACACTCAAGGAAGCTTCAAGGAAACATTTTCAGAATTGTTTATAAATTAATATTAAATAATGTTATTTAATATTATGAGGGCATACATTTGAAAGTGGCTTATGGAATTTTCAAAAGGTTTTTTGGGGTTTTTGAAAAGTTTTGGGGGGAGTTTTGTTTTGTTTACTGTAACCAAAGAGTCAATAGTATTACTATAAAAACAATGAAGAAACTATTTGCTGTGCTCCAAGGAAAACTCTAAAGTTTCTGTTAGTAATTAAAATGTAAATTAGATGCCACTTATTTAGGAAAATAACTCAATGAATAAATCTTTTCAATCATCTCTCTGGACATAGTAGTGATACTATTAATAAGCTGCTGGAACTTTCAAGAAAAAAAATCAAATAATTTGAATCTAAAAAGTGAGTCCCATAAAGACTTTGTGGTTCTGTAATTTTATAAGTCAATTTTAATAAAACTAGTTGAAACATAATTATACTACCAATTTTCTGTTAAAAGCTTCAGAGTTTAAATTACACAGGAGACTCAATAGGTGCATGATTTATGAACATTTTTTGCTTGCATCTAACAGGAAGTAATTAATTTTATTTTTCCATTCAGTATTGTATGTATAACTAAAATGTACCATTTTTATATGGAATATCTACTATGTGTTTTCTTTATTACTGTGAGAATAACATCAAACATTTAGCTAGTGTTTGCTATATGTCAGGTAAGGTCATCTCTCATACTACTTACTCTATGTTTTACTATGATAGTTTATAACCACCTACACATACACTACTAAATTGATTTTTACAGTCTTACCTTTTACTCATGAGCCATATCCAGCTGGTAGAAAAGCATTGTGATTGAGTCTTGGTCATTAAACTTAGTTAATATTCATTTAAGAATATTTGTGTTACGCTTTAAAAACTAAGACAGTTTAAGAAGATATAAAGAAACATGTAGTTCCTACCTCAAATTTCCATTATACTCAATAAATATGTACTTAGCATATCACAATCAAACTAAAATAGCACAAGTTACAAATTTTTAGTGAGTTACAGTTTCTGGAAAATTGACAAAGAATTATAGAGGGTGATTACTAATTAAAGAAAAAGTTATACAATTAATAGAAGCATTGGTTAATAATGACAAAGAGGAAGAGATATCATTATGCCCAAGTTGTATCTTCAAACATAATAATACTACATGAAATATGAGATTTTTCAAAATTAAATTTGACTCAATATGAATTTTATCTTTGCTGTTACTTTCAAAGTCAAGTTCTCATGTTGGTAATGATTTTGCCATGATAAAAATGCAACTAAATTTTTTATTTTATTTATTTATTTACTTTTGGTACTGATGATTGAACTCAGGGGCACTCAACCACTGAACCACATCCCCAGCCCTATTTTGTATTTTTTTTTTAATTTAGAAACAGGGTCTCACTAAATTGCTTAGCACCTCACCTTTGCTGAGGCTGGGTTTGAACTCATGATCCCCCTGCCTCAGCCTCCAGAGCAACTGGGAATACAGGCGTGCACAACTATGCACACATTTTCTAATGCTAATTTGTCTTTCCTGAAAAATAAAAGATATAATAGGATCTATCTCTTGACTTATTTCAGGGGTGCATATTAAAAACCGTGCCTGAACAAACCATGTTTGCTGTTATTATCTCTTTTGTTTACTATGCTGTCATGTAAATGTTTGTCATTTAAATTATAAGATCAGCTGATTACTAAATAATTAATGACTGATTTAGCCAATGATCAAAAGTCGAGAATCATGTCACCCAATACTAATATTATTTTTATTAAATAACCTCTTTAATATGCAACCCATATAAAGAATTTACATCATGAATTCTTGGCAACTATAAATTTCATCATTTAATGAATTGTTTAAAAGTCACTTAAAACATGCTACAAGACTCATCTTTATATCACATCAGCTGCAGAATACGTAGTGGTTAATTAAAGGTATTTATATTCACCTTTGTAATTTTTCTTACCCTTTTCCATCCTGCTGGCTATTCCACAGAAGGCTAATCTTTACATACTGCATCAAGGAATATTCTCATCCTCCCTCTCAGATCTGGTTTGGCCATGAACAATAGACTTGAGAGAATCAGAACAGAACACTAGGAAGTCTGTCTTTCTCTCCCAAAGAACACAGCTCCTGCTAGGTAGATTTTTTTATACAGATGATCCTCCCCAACTTGATATGGTATTTTGACTTTGCAGTGGTGTGAAAGCAGCATACATTCAGTAGAAATCATGATTCAGATTTTGAATTTTGATCTTTTTAGCAGACTGGAGATATGATATATAATACTCTTTTCTGATGCAGGGCTGCTCAGCAACCTGCAGCTCCCAGTCAGCCATATGATCATGAAAGGGAGCAAGGAATAATCTATAATGTGCTGTACTGCTAAGCTATAAGGTTCAGTAGATTGGGTGTATTAAATGTTCTTTCAATTTATGATATTTTCAATTTGCAATGTTTTTTTTCGAGACTTATTCTCATCAAAAGTTCAAAAGCATCTGTTGTACATTTACCTAGGTAATACTCCTTCTCCTTGCCCACTAATACCAAAGGTGTGACGTTTCTACTGGTGGAATAAGAGCAACTCTTCCACTCCCTTTTGATCTTTTCAAGTAGGCTCTACTGTCCATACATTTTTTAGAGACATTTTACATGACAGAACTTAAAACACGTCTAACTTCTGCAAGACTTTCCGGGTGACTGCTCTCTTAACGGCTCCTTTGACTTCATTGTTCCTCAAGCTGTAGATGATGGGGTTTAACATAGGTGTGATGACTGTGTAGGACAAAGACACTAGCTTCTTGCTCTCAGGAGATTGGTTGGATTTGGGCCGCAAATAGGTCAGGCTAGCTGTTCCATAGAATAGGGATACCACAATGAGATGTGAAGAACACGTAGAAAACGCCTTCTGGCGACCAGTAGCTGAGGGCATCCTCAGAATGGTCGTGATAATACGGGTGTAGGAAACCAAAATGAGGGAAAACGGAAACATGATAAATAATAGGGTGGAAGCAAGGGCTTGCATTTCGTACATGGTTGTGTCCTCAGTGACAAGTTTCAAGACTGGAGGACCATCACAAAAAAAATGGTCGACAGCATTTGGTCCACAGAAGGGTAGAGCCATCATCCAAGCTGTCTGTAGCATAGACACAGGGACACCAGACATCCAAGAGCCTATGGCCATCCACAAGCAGAGGGACCTGTTCATTATGACTGAGTAACGGAGAGGGTTACAGATAGCCACAAAGCGATCATAAGCCATCATAGAGAGAAGAAAACATTCCGAGCTACCAAAGAAGAAGAAGAAGTACATCTGTGTCCCACAGCCCACAAAAGAGATGATTTTCCTTGGTGATACTAGATCTACCAGCATCTTCGGCACCATGACCAGGGTGAAACAAACTTCGAGAAGTGATAGGTTTCGGAGAAAGAAGTACATGGGTGTTTGAAGAGCAGGATCCATACTGGTAACTGTGACAATAAGAAAATTCCCCAACAAAGTGACCGTATAGATGGCCAGGAATAAAATGAAGAGGGAAACTTGCATTTTAGGGTTGCTTGTAAAACCAAGAAGAATAAATTCAGTAACTCTAGTGTGATTCTCACAAGCCATACCAGAGGCAATTTCTCTCAAATAATCCAGTTATGTGCATCAAAAGGCATCCAATCAACAGATATAATTTCAAAATAACAGTAAAATTCTTAAACATACCTCTCTTCTCTGTTGTCTTCCTTTCCTTTTAGTAAAGCACTGAGAACTTTTACAGTAAGATAAAACTATAGGGAAAGGAATATTTTGTAGAAATTTTGTCACCTTGGTGCAAGTTTTCTCTCAGCAGTAGTTAGTGTCTGCAGCTCATATTCTTCACTAGAGACATGATATTTTGGAGGAGTAAATAGAAGAGTTTAAACACATTAGAATCAAAATACAATCATTTACTAATTTTTAAATGATATCAGAGAGCAATAGAGATAAATAATGAGCTAGTTTGCCTTTTAAATTTTGAAGAAATTTAAATAATTATTTATATTATATAAATTATGTTTCTACTAACTGAAGTGCACTTCACAGCATTTTGTCCAGTATATGCACAGATATACTAAAACACACGTGTGCACACACACATGACACAAACTTAGTAAATGAACATAATGTATGCTTATGATTTTGGTGCTTTTCTGAAGCCCCTAATGGGCCTTAAGGTTTATGTGATTTTAGTTATTTTCTCTAACATTATTTGACTTCACTGGGACTTCATTTTTTATTATGTACATGGTTATAGACATATGTTTAAATTGGGATTTTAAAAATTCTGAACAAAAATAACTTGTAATAGAAAAGTCAACACTCATCTTTACTGCTAGGCACCAAAATATCTCTGCTCATGTTCATCCATCTTCTCCAAAACTACATGGTCAAAAGGGGGACCTAGTCACTTTCTAAAGTACTTCGGCTCGTAAAAGAGCAAATTAAACTAGTATGAACTCAAACACTGTATCTTATTTAGATTAAAATATCTAACCAATAGTAGAATTACACACAAAAAAATTTTATAAATATCACTTAGCAATAGAATACCAAACATTAGCAATTGAAAAAAAATGTCTTTGTACTTGAAATGAATGAATTTTTAATTTTTAAAATATTGAGCTTAGGTAAATATTGCATCAACTATTATACATTTTGTCTAATTTAATTCAGAAAAAAACTTTACAGTCAAAATAATATTTAAAATCAATTTTACCTCTTGATATAAGAAGCTGAAAACTCATAGCATATAGAGTCTTCTAAAATAAATGCTCATTGGAAGAATTCTATACTTTCATTGTACTGTAAAAATACACTATTTGAGAACATTTCACCTGTTTGTATATTGAAAGTTCTCAAATCAATGTCCTCTACAGCACAAGAAAGGATCAACTCGAATGATCTCAGGCTGTACACTCCTAAAATACCCCAGAATAATTTAAGTACCAGATGGGATGATTATACTTATTATCCTTTCACCAGTACTGCCTTCATTCTCAATATCATTAATAGCAACAACTGCATCAGTAGTCTTGGTATATTCAGCAAAGCTTATAAGAAGTCTTCATATGTATTATGCTAACTAATATTTTGGAACAATTCTAAACTTTTTATAAGGTTCTAAAAATGCTTCATCATTTGTTTCAAAAAAAAAAAAGTTGGTGAAGATGTCAAGACTTCATAGTACACTTACAATATTCAGTGTATCCTAAAATGCCTCAACTTTTACTGCATCTCAGAATTCTGATGTCAGATAGCAATACTAAGATGATGGCTATGTTTTCTTTCATATGTGGAAGCTAGAGAGGAAAAAGTAAATAAAAGGGCAGGGATCTCATGAAAATAGAAGGGAGACCAGTAGGGTAAAAGATAGAAAATCCGGGGGATTGAGGTCGGGAGGTAGTGGGTAATGAAACAGACCAAATTATGCTATATGCAAGTATGAATGTATCATAATGAATCCTAATATTGTGTATAATTATAATGCACAAATAAAAAGTTTTAAATAAGATAAAACTCATATGAAATGCTATCTGAATAATCTAACCTTCATATACTTTCATAGACTCAGATTTGGGCAGTTTGAATTTGATTTATTGGGACACAATAATTTTGACCTTAAAATATTAATTTATGCTAATTATTAGTTTAAAATATCATTTTTATTTTTAAAAGTAGGATGAGTAGGGGAGCAATTGCTCTGAGGAGGCATTAAAGGACTTTTTGCAGAATAAAAGGTCCTATTTGCAAAAACACATCTCTAAGCCAGATTACAGTCTACATGGTTCTTATCAGCACAAATATTTATTTCAGTTTTATCTTTCATGAGCAACTGTTTATATATTTTAGTTAAATTAAGGTATAAGAAGAATCACAAAGTGCTTCAAGAAAACTCGGCAATGTTTGGGATGGTTCCTTGGCACCCAGTGTTAATAGAGTCCAGCATCTAGATAATGAAATAGTTCTATCACTACCATTATGAGTTATTTTTGCATTATTCATACTTTTTTTTCATCCCTTTAATGCAGCACTATGCTCATATGTACTCACTTAACATCAAATTGAACATGGTATATCACAGATGGAACTTTAGAATGACAGGTGGAGAAGCATACAATATTTAAGCCAATGAAGGTAGTATGATTATCTCTTAGATGTTTTATGTACAAAAGAGTTTAAATGATACCTTACAGTAAATATTGTTTTATATCTAAAATCCACATAAAAATAAATTAATGTAACCACTTATTATGCAATGTAATGTGAATGTAGGAATAATAGTATAGAAGAAAAAAATTCTTGTCCTTCAGTAATCAGGTCTACAGTGTACCAATCTTATTAAATATGAAAAAGCTACACACAAGTTGTCAATTTCTTGATTTTTGAAATTAATGCATATATTCTACCTTGCCTGGCATATTTAGATTTAATAAAGGTTTGGAGAACTAGAGATTCATAAAATCACAGAATGTACCTCCAAATGTCCTTCTCAGTCTTTCCATGGCTTAAAAACCTTATAACACTGAATATATCCTTCAATCAAAAAAAGAGATTCTGCAGTATTAATGTTACAGTCACTAATGCAAATTTGTACTGATGGCTTTTTTAAACTTTCAAAAGTTGTCTTGTTGCCATATTTATCACTTAGCAAAATAGAGGCTGCTTTACTTGTTGTGTGGTGTTTTAATAATGTGATAGTCATTTAGTTAACTCCACTAACTTAGTTGCCTAGGTACCAAAGGGGTCAAAAAAGATTTTTATGTCCCATTAAGCAACCCAACTTTAACTGGGTTTTCCTAGGAAATATATTTTTTGCCTATCATTCTAGATAGACATCTTAAATGTATACTCATAAAAATCATAATGGATTAATGTTATTACATTATCAGTATTCAAGATGCAATGTGAAGCTAGATCGTCATTAAATTTGTCTAAATGGAACAACATTTCTAACACACTATATGTAGATGAGTAAATAACCCCAGTGGCTATAATATATAAAATTACTTAAATACATAACAATTGCTATATATTAACATTCTATAACTTTTCAGACAATTGAAGGGTTCCATTATCTTTTGTCTATTTTTGTTTTAATAAAAAATAAAGTTATTACTTTTTCTGTAATTAAACAGATTTATTTTTGATTTGTAGGGGAAGTACCTGTAATATAAAATGCAAGTGTGTCTAAAAATTGAGGCACAAAATGAAGCATAAAAAAGTATCTGGATATCACTTACCAAATAAAAACTCATACTTCTTCTTTAATTAGAATTCTGCTCATTTTTTAAAATGTGATATTTTCTGAGAAACATTTACTGATCTTGAAATTTATAGCTCAAATCTTCAGAATGAATCAAACAGTCTATCCATGGAAACTTGCTTTCCATTGGCACTAAATGGTTGATACGTTTTATTAACAGTATTTAAAAATGTGACTGGCCTTGGGGAAATGATCTCTGGAACATTAAAATGACTACTGTTAATTAAACAACTTTTTATCTCATTGGGGAGAATATAAAATGTTCATAGAAGCATCCATATTTTCTGTGTAATGATGGCACTTCAGTACCTGTTTGACAATACTGAGCTACTGGACACACTGTTTAAGCCTCTTGGGACTATCAGTATTAATAGGGCGAGAACATATGAAGAGTATAGATTTTAATTTTCCCCGAAAGATTTTCACACATTTTTCTGATTCAATAATTCTAAATTCTGATTCAATACTGATAACAGATTGATAGCATGCACTTAAATTTTGCAAGATTTTCAAAATTTTATTTTTTAAATTTTATTGGTGCATTCTAATCATACATAATAGTTGGATTTATGGTGATATATTCACACATGCACAAAGCATTATTTGATCTACTTCATTTCCATATATCCTCTTTCTTTCTCCAGATCCCCTTTCTCTGCTTTACTGATATCCCCTCTTTAATGAGGTCCCTTTTCCCACCCCCTTCCTTTTTCTCTGTCTAGCTTTCATATATGAGAGAAAACACATGACCTTTGAGTTTCTGAGTTTGGCTAATCTCACTTAGCATGATGTTCTTCAGTTCTAAATCTTTACCATTTTCTTGCAAATGCCATAATTGTAAATCATTTAATTTTTTTTTTATTTTAAGCATAATTTTGTAATAATTCTTAAAGTGATTAAATGCACTAAACTAAGCTAATAATTGGCATGTATTTTGTTGTTGTTTGATACCTTTAGTAGGTTAACTATTGGTATGTTTTACTTAGTAAACAAAACCAGGATTCATATATTATTACATGGCAGTAGTACCTTATAATGTCTAAATGGTTAAAGTCACAAAGAAGTATTGGGAGTTTTTTATCCTTGGCCATTTTTATTCTGAGGCTATTTTAATCTAGATAAATAACATTAAATTTTGAAGTATAATGAGCTAACAAAACTATAGAAATAACTCATTTCATTTCATCTTATTTACTGCATAATCAAATATATTAGGTATATACAAAGAGTATAGTCACAAATTAGTGCAATGGGATGATTCAAAAAATTCTAATGAAATCTTTAGGGGGGAAGAAAAGCCATGAAATACCCCCAGGAGTTT